AGAGAAATCCTTTCTGTCTAGACTTTCTCGTGCGAAAGGAGGATGCTTGCCAAAGTGACCTCATTGGGTATAATCTAGTGCATGGGTGTGTACAAAGAAAATGCTTATTTCACTATATCTCATGGTTGAGAGGTGTGCATGAAAGCTTTGACTCGTGAAGGTGCTTGCAAAATAAACTTAATTAATAGGTTTATACTGGCACCCAAAGTCATACTTTCAATGACTCCGTAGAAGAACGGCAAACAATTTGATTAGCAAAACGAAAAGCTTTCGCGAATTTTGTTGTTACGGAAAAAAACGATTGAAATTCTTGTAAAGAACGGGATAGTAGAATCTCTATAAGTCCTGCTCGGTAAAGCAAGCCTAGGACACCAGCTCTCAAGCATCATTTTGCAAGAATAAAATGATGAACGCCTTGGCAATATTTCTTATTATGCAACAAGTTATGCAGTTGTTCAAGACGGTTTTGTTAGACTAAGTACTAAGGTGGCAAGTTCTGCTGGAGAAACATTAACTGAGCCTTGTCATCGACTGAATTCCCATCCGAGAGATTTTACTGGAATTGATGAGACTTTGTGGCAGGTTCTAGGACCCCTTTTTAAGGCCAATGTGGGTACGGCAAAGCTTCATTGTTCATTGCTTGTCTCCAATATCTTTCCTTAAGAGAAGGCGTTTATAGCACCAATTCAAATCGTGAAGTGACTTTTTGGACAGAGAAATGCATCTAACTACTCCGGTCCATCAAACAAGCAGCAAATTACAGCTCAATTTTGTTATAAGTGCTACTTTGAGTACTTCAATATGTTACTAAAGGATGGAGTAACTAGTAATATCCAAAGTTAACTCAAGCAAACACCTGAGATGAAAGCTTCATGTAAAGCAACAGTACGTACCCATGTCAGCATCAAGTTAGCATTTCACCTTCTCTGCTGCTGTATGTGATAATACTGAATTGCCACGTAATCAATGCCAACGAAAATTCATACTTTTGTTGTTTAAGAGCTAATGACGAAGTACCACAGAGATGGCCATATAAAAATAAACTGGTGCTTGAATCTGACTTAACTTGAGTGTGAATAAAAAAAGACGGAACCTTTTGTCAATTATCTCCATTTTAGTTGCTATCTTTCTTGACTATGAAACATTGAGGCTTCCATTGCAACTTAGTTATGAGACAGGACGGAATCGCCTGTTCCAAATGTACAACTTTCCACTGTGAATACAAAATGTCGTCTAGCTGCCCTCCTGAACCTATTTCAGTCCTTAAGCACTGTCTCGCTTGTTGGACGTTGGCATCGAGGAACGAAGCAATGAACCAAGGTCTAAATTTTCGTAGTTCTGTCAGTTAGACCCGAGAGTAAAGTAGGTGTTAGAAGTGGTGTTAGCGGTGCCGGTGAAATGCCCACCAAGGGCCTGTTAGGAATCCCTCTTACCAAACTGTTTTGAAGTCGAAGGCTGGAATAAATATTGGCATCTGGAAGACGTCGCCTTCGTTCTCGCGAAACCACTCGCCTGCCTATTGAACTGTACGGTGAGAGGGTCTGGTGTTGTTAAGAAAGAGAAATGACAGCATAAAACCTACTCCCATTGGCAAAAGACTTCTAACGAAAGCTTTGATCTAACCTTATCAAATGAAGTTACATAGACGCAGTTTTGCGGTTCTAGCTATTTACGCTTATCAGCAGAGCAAAAACCCGTTAGCCGTCGATCAGCAAAGGGCAGAAAACAACATTTCTCAAGCATTTTCTCTACTTACTTTCTTTTTGCGCTATTTCTAAACAGGATAGTGAATCACTTTGACTCTTTCATCAAAACTGTTTTGCTTTCTTAGAGATATTTGTAAAGCAAGTTAAAGGCTAGAGTGAATAGACAAAATGATTAGGCATTATCTCGTCCCTGAAAAATCAGATCTTTCCCTATGCTGATGCAATATCTCTACTTGGGTTGTCAAACTTGCATCCCCTGACTAAACTTGCAAGAGCACATCCAGGTTTTTGGTTATTTTGAGTGATTGTTGTTTTCTTTGAAATTGAACCGTAGCACAAAATCTCGTTCATAGAGAG